CTTGTTGACTGCTTGCTATGTGATGGAATCAGCTGCTTATTTCATACACATTGATGCGAACGAGGAGCAATGTTTTTTCGATCGTGTAAGGGCTGGCACTAAGATGGGTGTGATATTTGAAGTTGCTGAAGGCGGATTTTTGGATATTGATGTGAAGGTTCCCTTTTTCAGTTTCGGTTGCTTGCAAAATTGGCTAGAGCAACTTCTCAGTTGCTGCTTGTATTCTCTGAATAATACAACAAATGCAGAATTTTTGTTTATAATTATTAGTCATTTGTATCATATAATATTGGCACAATTGCTGTAGAATCGGCAACCGGTGCAGGATTTCCAGTGCCAAAATGCAGTGTGTGTTTAATGAATTTTAAGAGTGCTCCTCTTTTTAGATTATTGGCCCTGACAACAAAGAAATCTACAGAGGAGAACGTGAAAGTTCTGGTAAGTATACCTTTGCTGCACATATGGATGGGCCCTATACTTATTGTTTTGGAAATCAGATGTCAACTATGACTCCAAAAGTGGTCATGTTTTCAATGGAAATTGCACAACCTGGACAACCGATACCATCTGAAGCAGGACAGGGGAGTGGTAATGATTCTTCAGGTAGAATATTGCTTTCGGTTCCCTTAATATTATTCCCTTCCATGTCAGGTGTTTGTATTATATCTATTATCTGATATCCAATTTAACAATGCTATCTTTTTCTTAGGGATTATACAGAGACTGACTTTTTAGCGGACAGTCTTAAACTAGAAGAGATGGTACGAGAACTATCATCGGCATTGACATCTGTCAAGCATGAGCAGGAATATATGGAGGTACGAGAGCGTGTACATAGGTCAAGTAAGTTTTTTCTTGAATTTTCACTGAACTTCAGTTTATTTAATTTTTGAAGCATCATATTTTATCACTGCAGGAAATCTGAATTAACCAACGCATAAAATTGGACTGGTGATTCGACCGATTTTTGAGACAAGTATAGTGTTGGGAAAATGATTTTAGGTTTTCTAGATTCCATTTTTTTTGAAGTAAATAAAGTGAGAAGAGATTAAAGTTTTATATAAGTTTGGAGCAAACAGCGCTTATATTTTGGCTTAAATTTGGTCGAGATGTCTGCTTTATCCCTTACCATTTGTAGATACCGACATTACTTTGTTGATTATTGGATGTTCTCGTCTTCAAATGAAATACTTCCATAAGTGTTTAGTAATCAGTTGTGTTTCATTACCGCTACTTTTCTGTAGCATTTCTGTTCTACAGAAAAGTGTTTCTTGACTTGCTTCAATAAGATTTGTTTTTCAGTAAATGAAAACACAAATTCAAGAGTGGTTTTATGGGCTGTTTTCGAAGCTGTGGTTCTTGCTTCGATGACCGTTGGACAGATATTTTACCTAAAAAGATTTTTTGAAGTTCGCCGAGTTGTATGAAAGTGAACAGCTTATTATTACAAATTATCCAAGAATATTATTTTATTCTCAAGCAATTCATGTGAAGGCAGTCCCTTATCTATGCTTTATTGGATCCTCATTACCGATAAATGCTCTTTGTAGACATCGTACAACTTGTGGTGGGATGGTTTCTTTTCTTTACTCTGAATTTGAAAGTTGTCTAAAAGCAAATATAATTGAAAAGGAAGCTTCTACAAATATTTTTGCGTGAAAGTTCTTACCCGCAAATGACTTGTAATCATTGAAGAAATATTAAATCTGATGAACATTTAACTGAGGTCACTATTTGGTAGTATTTTAATTGTTAACACTGGTCATTCAATTTTTAGTATTTTTCTCATCACTTTGTTTTATTGCATAATAATTACATTAATTTTGTAATTAGATTTAGCTAGGCACCGTTTCAAACAATATTTCGGGACAGAAACAATTTATGATTCACCATTGTTTTTGTTGTATTTCTGGTCATTAAATTGCTCTGTTATGAATGATAATGGAAAATGGGAAAAGGCAAAATGTGCTGAATAGGTATTTTTCACTACAGAAATTTCGGTTTTTCGTAAACATAATATAAGGGTTGAGAACATGAAATTTGTGTGCTGATAATGTTAGTAGTTTCGCTTCGATATATCGACTTTTGTCGTAACAGATTTACCATTCTAAACTCTGAAGACGTTGAATATTTGTAATGGAAGAATAGGATTTCCTTATTTTACTTTCTGTTTAACACCTTTAGCTTGCTGTAAATTTCAGCGAATGATGGTCTTTCGCTAGGTTCCGTTTTCCAGCATCGGTAAACAAGCTTTGATATAGCCAATGGCGCTGTCTAGAAATAAGTAGAAGTACAACATAAAGTTTGTGATTAGACCAGAAAACTTTGTGGTATTAATAGTTAGAATGGTTTTATTAATGAGATTCTTATTGGAAAATGGTTCGCAAAACAAGTTAAAAGTCTTTCTGTTTAAACAGTCTAAGTTCTGTTTGGAAAGTTTTTTTTTTTTTTTTCACCCCGTAAAGTAGACATTTGTATAATAAATATGATTGACTTTGATCGAACTCACTTTCGGCATTTCCATTCGATAGTTCTGAACAACAATTTTGGCTCGTGTCTGAATGTTTGATAAGCCTGGATATGGTTCCTTGCCGTCCGCGTATACTTCCCAAACCTAATAATATATGATTTTTACGAGAAAATTGGATGAATTTGATAGAAGTACACCCATAATGAAATTTGAATCCACACTGTTGTAGATTTGAAAATAGCTTACCAACACACCGAAGGACCAGACATCAGTTTTGGACGAGAATATACGTTGTTGCATGGTCTCTGGGGCAAGCCATTTCATTGGAACCTGACATTTGCTTGACAAATATATTTTATTTTAAGCTATATTAAATTAATGCCTTCTGGTTTCTATAAATCTCGAAGTCTTGATTAGTGTAAAGATACTTTTTCTAACTTTTCGTCATGGATAATTCTTCGTTCATCAGACATACCAAAGTCACTTATTTTTACTTCCAATTGTTCTGATAACAAGCAATTTCTTGCCGCTATATCTCTGAAATTTACTATATTTTGACAAAATATTTGCGAAAGCGTTGTTTAACGCATGTCGTCATATATGTAATACGCACACAGAAGTATATTTCGAGAGAAAAATGCGTTATTAGTTATCAAGCTAATTGAATCACGAACAGGAAATCAAGTCAGATGATTAGTATGAGAATATTTAGTGATAGGAAGTTAGAAATCAACTGCTAACCTGTGGATGCAGTGTTTTGATTCTAAATATGCAAGGCCCGCACTAGCTTCTGTAACAAAACGTAGTTTTAGATCTGAGTTGACAGGTACATTTTTCCTAAGGTAACTGAGCATTGAACCTTCTGAAATATATACATTTTCAATTGAAGCGCACCCGGATTGGGTAAGCAGTAGGTTTTATGAAATTTGAGAAATATCAATGTTTACCGGGACATAGCTCCATGACAATCATTAATGGGTTTTCATATACCATAATACCCATAATTTTTACTACATTGGGATGCGAGAATTTACGCATTATTCGAGCTTCCTTCATAAATTTAAGTCGTGCCTGCCGAGAGGCCTCTTCTCGCATCGTTTTTACTGCCACATCAGTTATTTTGTTCATTTGTACATATTGCGCTAGATATACCTATAGTAATTCATAACATCTTAAGCTAAATTAGACTAAGTTACTTCGCTGGAACATTCGCAGATTGCTATCAATGAAAGGGAAGTATTGTTTGAAATTTAAAATAGGCGAGCAGTATCAGTCATGAAGGAACGTGCATAAATGAGATTACGAACGTCGTTTGCCAAGAAAGCTTCATACATTACACTTACTGACTTCCTTGATGTTGCTAACAGTTAAGCATAAATGCTTTCTCTGTCGTTTGTCATTACGCTAGTAGTTATGCAATACGTATGAGAACTTTATATCATTTGTGATAATAAAAAAAGCATTTATGATGGCGTCAATAAATATTAAGTATAAAAATCAAGTGGTATTATGCATTTTTAAAGCAATGTTGAATCTAGAAGACTTTCAAATTTCAAGCAAAATGAACGACCTCGCCAAAGGCTCCTTCACCTAACTTCCTTTGCAGTTGAATCTCGTCATGTTCCAAAAGCCATGGTTGTCGGCCAACTCCATTAACAAGCTTTGCATGACTACCCGCAGATATTGGAGTTCCTGTTGTTTTGTGCCAGTTAATTAAGTCGTGCATTGTTTTCTCCTAAATTATTAGTTGTTTGTACATTCTAGTAGTTAATCCAATAAAAGCATGAAATCTTCCAGGAGCAACAGGCAAATTGAAAGAAAAGAAACTTTGTGGGTCTCGAAGTAATAGTAGCCCATTTCGTCCTGATTGACCACAAAATGCAATATTTGTTTGTTCCATCTTACTGATAAAGCGAGGATGATTTGACCGGAAATTTTAACAAACATTTTTGTCCTGATTTTTTTAGGTCGTCATCCATTATGTGAATTCAGTATAACTACATACTTTGAAATAAAGTCCAACTCGAACTTACATATGTTTGTGAATTTAACATCCTGAAGACGATAAAAGTAGCAGGACCAAAAGAAATTGTTTTGCGCCGACTGAAAAATTATTTTCCAATTATAAATTTTCGATAAATGATTACCATCTTTGTCTGTTTTGCGAATGACAAAATCGCCCTCCTCTTTAAGTAATGGATCGATGTCAGCGTGTGGGAGAAATCCATGATAGAAGGTTCGCTGAAGTTCGTTATTCAGTTCTATTGAGTCATCCATCTTTTGCTTCCTTCTAAAGCGGAAGTGATAAGAAGCAACTGTATAGCAATGTCTGACCAATATACAATAAACTATGAAATGATTTTACATATTTACAATAACAGCAGAAAGTTCGCCGTTACTGGCAGTTCTGTGGTCGACGAGAAAGGAAGGCAAGAACGCGAACAGTATTTATTATCATGCATTTCCATTAATATCTCCTCACTTACGTGAACTTTACATATTTAATATTTAACACTACGAACTATTTATTATGCGTATCCGACCTGCATATTTCATTTATTCGTTTACAGAACACGTCGACATGACTGTGTGTTCAATTTGTTTGCAGTGTAAGCAACCGAATGAGATGCAAAAGCTACCTTGTTCACATATGTTCTGCAGAGGCTGCATATCGAAATGTTCAGCGTCACAGCTTTGTCCCCTTCCTTGCTGCACTTACATACGTCATGTGAACGTCATCATCGATGAAGCGGATGAGGTAATAACCTATGAATGTATCAAATAGTAATCAATGAATACCTTCAATCATAAATGCGAAAGGTGGCAAGACGCAAAATAGGCAATTCAATCTATACGGTGCAGAAAATAGGCATTATTGCTTTATTATCTCATAAGCTCTTGAACTAGATATATGACTTGGATCCAACAAAACCAATATCAGTAATATATTTCGTATTAACATGAATTCTAAAAAATTTACCTAATTTATCTGCATTAGCCTGAGAATGAACTTACTTACCATTTCTTACCATTTCAATCTAATAATACAGATTTTAATAGAATCATGATCACCTAACAAAATTCCTGGCACGATAGCATAATGCAGAAAGGAAGTGATGTTTTTTCAGGGTGATGAGGAGATACAAAAGATATCATTTGGGCAAAAATTACCATCGATGCTACAGCTCGAAGAGCGACAACGGTGTGATGGCAGAAAAGGTTCTCTTTTCCGAATTTTATCTAGCAAAATTATTGGTGGAACTCATCAAACACTTCATCCATATCAACAAGAACTGCCTAGTTTACCTGACACTATGACCTTAAATGAGTCAAGCTACACTAGATAACCTCTGAATTAATCTGATGCATATTTCTGACCTCTAACTGAACATTTTATGAAGGTGCATTTGCATGCGCGAATTCGGCACGCATGACGTTGATGGATTGTCGTCACCGTCTCTGCTTCGATTGTCTAACATCGCGCATTAATGTCGCCGTTGCAGCTCGTTGGTTTTTTGTTCTCAGTTTTAAATTGCACCACAGTGATTAATTCTAAAGCTTGATGCCTTGTTGCATAGTTGCAGAAGAGCTACCATGCTGTCCGATATCTCGATGTGCCAATCGACTCACTAAAAACGAAATTGCAAAAATATCTGAGCGCGCGCCACATATGCGTCAAGTTTGTGCCAGGCTGATTGAAGCAAGTCCTGATGACTCTCCTGAGGAACCACCCGTGATTTTCTTTTTCTTTCCTCATTTTCACTTACTTTAAAGAACTTAGTCGTTTTCATTATCACTATAGGCAACGTAATTCAGTACTTTAAACTTGAATTGAACTTTACTATTCATTCAGTTCATCTAAAGCTTCATAAAACAGATGAGTAATTAATTTAAATACTAGAAAAGACCTAAATGTTTTAATTTAATTTAAATTATTTAGTCTTTAGGGCAAAGATGAATGTGTGTTTTTCTGCTCCGTCTATCAGTCGGAAAATAGTACAAAGCCGATAATATTTCCTTTGGCATGTACAGTTTTCGATATGGTCAGTGCCATGGTACAGGTGCAAAGATTGACAAAAAATCGTAGTGCGAATAACATTGGTGTTTACATTCGAACGATAGTTGCAGGCTTGCGCTTTCATTGTTAATCTAGATATTTTTAAATATAAAAAAACTTGGGTTGTATTTAAATTTGCAAGTTTGAATTCAAACTGACATATAATGATGGTTTGTTCAATGTATTATAATAATATTGCAACTAGAGGTTCAATTAATTACTGTTGTGTCTGATAATTTCGATGTTCTCCCATTTAAGTCTTAAGTGACCTCTTCCAGGTAAACCAAAGTACGATCCAGTAGATGTAAAAGCAATGACGAAGAAGAAAATCGGTGAAACGGATTTTCACGACCGCACGCATTTTGTGCTGGATGTTGATAATGAGCTCAAAATAATGAATATTTCAAATAATAATTGAAAATAAAATTTGCTTGAACTCATATGCATCGTTTTTTTTTTTTCATGGCAGTAAACATAAATGAAATAACCAAAAAACAAAATAGAGCCTGTCATGAAATTACAAAATAAATAAAAATATTCGTCTCACAAAGAAGGCATTAATGTTAAATCTCAAATACATAGGGAATACTTCTTATCATTCAAAAACCAAACATTGATCCTAGTTGTTTAGGCTTTTTCACTTGGTCATTTGTCACTCTTTTTTCTTAGCACATAACTGAAAGTAGTGTGAACAAGAACTCCTCGAATGAAATGTTTAGAAGCTTATTTAGCTTTTTGTAACCTGTGGTATTTAAAGGTAGATAAGTTTTATGGCAATTTAGTCTGGTATCTTGATGAAGAATTGATTTAAATTAAATCTGATCTGGAATTCAAATTCGTTTTGTAAATACGAACCAAAAAAGGTCATTCGGTTGTAATTACCAATGGACAAGTGGCTATGAACCTTATCAGTGCCAGCTTATTAAACATTTATCGATTTGATTTACTTTATTTAAAGGCAAATTTTCCGAATTGGGTAACGCCATCTAAAAGAAAAGCTGTATGTGTATGATCAAATATTAAACAATTGACAAATCTTGTTGATGAAAGAGGTTTAATTTTTTCATTCATTTATAAGAAGTAAAAATTATTTCGGTTTTAAGCGGAGATTAAATTTCATGTTACTCTGATCAATAAACCAATTAAGCATCTGAAAAAATAAATTTCAATCACTTTCTAATCATTTTCAATGTACTATGTAAGGTACCATTTAAAATATTAATCTACTCTTGAACCAATCATCTGTCATGAAAGATATGTTTGCTCCTTGAATTGTAAATAAAAACAACTGCATGCCTCGTGAATCAATATTTTTCCAGCTGATCAATTTAAAAAATGTAAAAAGGCTAATAATAAAATTAGAATAGCCTGACCAGTTCTTTTATGATATTATTATCACCGCTGCTATTGTACCAACATTTAGCTCTTCTTACTTTCTAATTTCACTTCTCTAGTTTTTTTCAGAGATGAACTAACATCCAACAACAATTAGGAAAAAATTTTTGCTACAAAAAAATAACATAATAGTAGCTCCTGTTCAGTGAGTTGACCTTTACAAAAAGTACATTGACTCTAGGTCTCTTCTTCATCATCAGACATTCGTTTTTCTTATTTGGTTTTTTCTTTCAAATGATTTTTTTATATGATTTTTATTTAAAAAATTAAATAGTGTCTAAAAACTGTAAACCACTCATTTTATATTAATGATCTATCCTCGTATATTTGACGCTTAAACAAAATATATATTCTGTACATCAATGTTTTGCTTTTACAGTTCATGGAGACTAGTGTACCCTGATGTGATGCTTTGGATTCATGTCGCGATGGTAATTGTGATAAGCTTTTTTCTTAAAATGTTCATTTCATATCCAATCGACTATTTTGTCTAGATTTTCTTTTTTTTTTTTAAGCTCCATTTTTTGAATATTCTGGGGCCGGCTTACGGGAAAATATAAAGCAGTTTTTGTCTTCGCAAATTTCTTAGCAACTAATTGGAAATTTGATGATATCGTCACAAAAGAATCATTCTTTTAAAGTAGCAAACAAATTTAAAACCTTATGCTCTTTAACTTGGACTCACATAGATAATTATACGTAGAATCCAAAGCTGAAATGCAGGATTTTAAGAGTCTATGACTTGCTTATTTCAAGGATGACAGAATACTGAAACAACTAGTATACTTTATTTCTACGACATTTCTTAAAAATCTTACAAAAATATGCTTTATTTATCCATAACATTATCTTGTTTCAGTTTTTTTTTTTTTTTTTTTTTTTCATTACTTTTAAATGCACCGAAGAAGGCCCTTTTGTAAGGCACTAGGATGAACATTTAAGTCACTTTCAGTGAGGAATTTTAAAATTCTATGGACAATCAGTTTAATGTTTTGAATTTCCTTTGTCTGACAGCATATTTTAAACGACATGTTTCTTCCATTTCCCCTACCTGTCCATAGTCATGTGGTTGTTTGTGGATAATTTGACCCTGACAAAATAACAATGACGATAGAAATTGCCGCCGTTTCACTCTCTGTCCCATACTTTTCACCCCTTCGTGTACTAATAATTGATTTTTGAAGGAATTGCAAGATTTACAGTAATTGAGGAATTGGAGGAAGTTGGAAGAGGACTGAGAAAAGATCAATCAAGGTAAAAGGGTAATGTTACCGTTGCTATTTCCGGTACAATGCACTGGATTTCTCATCACCATTTTTAAGATTTTCATAAATTTCAAAGTCTAAAAATGTCTTTTTCCACTCAATTAAACTCTCATAAACTCTCAACATTTAAATCTTACTTTTTTCACGTTCAAAGTTCAAGAATGACCTTCAGTTCGCGTCTCGAGGATAAACATCGGTGGAAATGAAACACAATTATAAATTAGTGAAATCAATCATTTAAAGAATATTACACATATAATTAGAATAGAGGAGCATAGTGTTTAGGACAGCAAATTCCTCAATATAATTGTTGATTTCAATTCAAATCTCTTTTTCATAACGACCCATACTATTCTACCCATATTGCATAAACACGAAGTGCCAATTGGTTCTGAGTAAGTTTTAAGCTAATTTGAGTCTTATGGTAAGCACAAAGACCATCATTATTTGATTGAATTTATTTCAAGTTAACCACGTCAAGACAATAAACTATAAAAAAATCCAGAAAAAAAAAAAACAATCGCTTTCCATTAATTTTCTCAACTTACTCAATTCGCTCTAAACGGTATAATTAACCATAACAGATACTTCCGTACACTTTCAAGATCAGTTTAAATAAATCCAAGCTAATATATAGCTTATTGCAACAAAAACCGTGAACATACGTTTTCACATACATACGAGGGTTGCATAAATCAACGAATGCACAATGCGACAATTCTGGTAATTAATTCTTTTCAAAGTGCGCATGCGATAAGAAAAAAATTTTTTTCATTCATTTGAAGGCTATAATGTCCGCAATGGCATCACAAAATTCTTGTATTACCAGCGGTAATTGATGAGGCGCTTATCCTATTTCCTTAACTATCATTCAAGTTTGCTTCACAATTCTCGAAGAAGTGATAAGACAGCTCAAGAATGCTAGTGATAGTAGTAATCAACATAACAATGACCAGGATATGATTATAGCACTGCTTAGTAGTCAACATAACAAGAAGATGCCAGTTAACATTTGTAATTTGCAATTTTTTTACTATCGAAACTTTTTTCAGATAATGAAAAAGCTTTCACTGTATTGCTATTTGGTTTGGGATTGTAAAGATGTTACTGCTCTTTAAAGATAATCCTTGTCTTTCAACTTTCTTTTCTTCATCTATAGATGTGAAACCTTTAAAGAGGTAGATGATATTTCAAAAAGCTTTATCATAAACTGAAATAATTTTGTTATATTAAATTCTACTTGAAATTTGAATTAATATACAGTTTTAGCACAATCATTTTGCGTGAATTATGTTTTTCAATATTGTTCTCGAGAATTCTTCTTGCCAGTTTGAAGAAATTTCAAGGTCATACAGAAATTAAATTAAGCAGCCTTTCATTCCAACCTCACTCCCAGTTGGTTTTGGCCAGAAACAGATATACATTTCATTGGCAATGTATTTTTTTAGCATGATAAATATTGAAATTTTCAATTTATTCAGCGCCTACGCTACATTTCAAATTGCAGAAGATTGAAGGAAGTTGCAAGAATACTTGAAGACAAATATATTTACCAGTGGCAAGTTTATCGCTGGCCAAATTACCTTAGCATAATCAACAATATCGGAAGAAAAAAGAACATTTTTGTTACATCTTTATTTTAGAAAGTTCATAATTGCTGGAATCACCATCTATTCATACTTTCTTCATCAATTCTATCAATCTGATCACTATTGCTTATCTTTTTCCGCCGATAAACAATGCATAAAATCATGTATGTATTGGAGTAAGTTTTTTCAGCGTTTTTTCCTTATCTGTGTTTATTCATTAGAGAGTCATTTGTTCGTTTGAAGAATTTGGCACGTTAAAAAACAAAACAAAACGAAAAGATCTTATCCACAAGGACTAATTTCCTTTACTTTCTTCTGGCTCATCCTATCACGAAGGTTTCTCCCTTTAAAATGCATTGCACATGGGCACCATTTGTAATTTTTATTTCAATTTATGTGTTAAAGTTGAAAAGGGATGGGAAAAAATTAGGTGAAGGTGAACAATGACATTCTTTACTGAAAAACTGTTACCATCCTCGAACATTTCATTCCTACAACACTTTTTCCTTCCTTTTTTAATTGTACCGAAATTCTTTTCTCTGAGTTATTTCACTATTTTTCTTTTTCAAAACTTTTGCTCATCACCTTGAAAAGGTGTAGAAATATTAAGGCTACCGACATCAGTCCCACTATCCTTTTTCATATTTAATTGATTTCTTTTTAACCGGAAGCTCTAAGAATAGCCACTCATGTTTGTGACGGTGATGACCCGGAAAGTTCAAGAAATGTGTATGGCGTTTGCCATCTGATTCCAAAGAAATGCGGATATGATAACATATATCATGCTTCTTAAACTCCTTTTAATCGACTTCTGAGCCATATTTTGCTGTTCAGAATACTTCAATAAAGAATGGTTATCTATCCTTTGCTCATTTTCGATCTAAATTACTCATTATTTCTCCTAACTTTAAATAGAATGAAAATCGTTCGAATATATCAGTGCTTGTTTATTCCAGCTTGTTAAACTATATGTTGTAATTAGTTGACATGTATATACTATCATAATTGCATCTTTCCCTATTCTTGCGATATTTACCAATTAGGTCTTGCCTATTTCATATACTCGTCGTAATTTATAGAGGAATAAATGATCTTAGAATGAAAAAAGATAAAGATTTAGCTGAGTGAAGAATAAAATTAATGTTGCAAAGCCAACAGCCGATGTACTTACTTGACCCCAATTTCACTATCGGAGGAATTGTACTGTTTGCTGATCTCTTTAATTTATAATGATTACAGTGAAAACTTGCCGTTGATCTGTTCTCTTCTTTATCTCATGTTCTAATTACCATTTCATGTCCTCTTTATCATTTTTAATAAGCCTATTGTGCTGACCATGGATTGATCGTTCACTAGTACTTCGATTAGTTTATGCAGGTGATTTAATTAAATAATTATAGTTCATGATTTCAAATAAACATTAAATTCAACTATTTTAGGAATTTAGCTCTGCACATTTTACAGAATTTTTTCATGAAATTTATTTTGGATTATAGCGAAAAAATATCCTAAACTACAACAAATTTCAAAGATAGATTGCTATAATAAGTTTTTTCAGGTTCATTTATAAATAGGCCACTAATAAGATTTTGAGAGATTCAAATTCGTGAAATGCAAATAAATATGCTGATTCCTTATTCAGAATTTTTTAGCGGGATGAAAGATTGAAAAATATCGAGAATATTTTCAAGGAGATAATTTAGAAATTATAAAGATTGGAGAGATTTGGATTGAAGTATATTCGACTGTGCTCTGTATGAAAATATATGAAAATTTGAAATCGAAAATTTTCAAGTTGCAACTTCTTAATATCAAAATTTCCTTAGCTACATGCAGATGTAACTCTATTTATAAATATTTTGCTGGTCATAATCCCAGCTATGATTCTGATTACTGTTTGATAGAAAAGGCCATGTTTCCTAAAAAACTTAGCCTAGCATATTTCACATTCATATTCGCATTCCATAAATATATACTGGGAAGAATGCAGAATTTTATTGCGTCAAAAATGATAGGTAATGCAGTGAGTATAGGATCTCTTCCCCAATTCAAAACATAAGCATTATAAATCAAGCAGAAAAAATTTTTAACTACCTTCCATCCTATTTGATACTTTTGGAGAAATAAACAACTATATCAATGGTCAATCATATTCTATAAATAAATGAACATAATTGAAATAAGGTGATGTAATTGACTTAGATGGCAAATTAGGTGACTGTCAGATTTAGATCTAATTTTAAAGAAATGGTTAATATTTCATACAGAAATATGAATACTTATGATTCAGAAGACGTATGATAGCGATATTCTATTCTCATTGGTCTCTGTAAGTTTCTTTCTTTTCTCACTAAAATAGCTTGAAAAAATACCAAATGCAAACTAAAATTAGATAAAAGAGTCCACAGGTATAATATAATGAGTAATTTATTGGTTGTAAAACTAATTCTTACGTTAGGTTATGTTTATGTTGAATTATAATCATTTTCTTGCTGTGATTTCTTAAACATTAATAGTTTTCAACCAAAAGTTAAAGTTGTATGCACGTTTTTGTTTTCCACTGATTTCAGTCATCAAAGAATAATTCAGAATATAACAATGGATTTTTTGCCATCTAGAAAATGAAAACTTTTTCACAATGATATCACATATTGACATTGAGTGTCAACTCTCTTTCATCAGTTCTATCACAACTTTTGTCGTCAACATCAAGTCCTTTTCGATCTTCATCGACTAAACTCCTCCTCTTTTTATCACTTGAAACCAGCAAGACAGAATAGAAGAAAGCGATGCCTTCCATCTATTCTCATTTTTCATCAAGATTCTCATCTATCATATTTATTCATGTATTCTTTTTTTCTGAAGCTTTAAATAGCTTTAAAAATACGGAATTAATCAGCCCTACTATTTTCAATTTTCAAAATGAGTGCCGTCTTCTTCGAGCTCATCCCTATTTCATAAGGACTAAATTGCTCAAATTAAAGTTCAATGCCTTTTTTTAAATGCTCAACTGACTTATATTACAATTTATTTTGCTTTGAAACTATTTCTATTAAAATACTTAAACAGCTGCTGTTTTTTCATAGATCCTGTTAGATCTTGCAATTAATTCGGTAAGTAAACAATAATGAACAAACTCTCGTCCAAAAAGTCTTGATGCAAATAGCATAAGTCAAGGTAAGGTAATTCAAAGCAAGGTTATTTAAATTAATTCAAATCGGCATAGAACTTGATTAATAACAGTTACTGCTATCCTATCATATTTTAAGAGCTTTTATGAATATTATTAATCGATTAAACTGGAAACAAAATGCGATTATGGCATGAATAGTTGGTGTATTTACCGATCTGTCCAACTGTTTGAATTTGCGGTAACATAAATGTTCACAGTCCTACTACAAAATTTCAGAAAATGTCTGCACTCTTTTGTCAAATTTCAAAACCTTTGCTTCTAAAAATTTGTTTGTTTAATTCTGCACTCTGGAGATCACTTAAACTTACAGAAAAAAAATTCAAAAAAATCTCATGGACTGCTTTTCTTATTAGTACATAATTAACATTTAAAGACTTCATTAAATCTTACGTGACAAAATCTATTACCCCTAATTTCCCAAATTAATGCTATTCTATATGTTTTCAAAGGATTTGCCACAAATACTTATTATTATGTTTTTGCGCTAATTCCCTTAGTCTAATAATTTGACATAGGCAACTTACATCCACTCACAGTCCTTCACTTTTACTCTTTTAAACTTTCTCCTTCAATTATAATCAGTCGTACGCATACAATTAGATATCCATCAATGCATTTGAGGTAGAAGGCCGAATCTGGCGGCGAATAAATAGCATTTAGTATGCTCCCAGCTCTATTATTCATTGCATTTCACTTACATTTTTCTTCCGTTTCCGGTAGAATATTAAGTTATGCAGATTCAAGTGTGTGAAGCAGATTATATATACTGTAAAGCAGACTATATATAGTATTCTGAATGTCAAAGTTCATCTCCAGGATTGAAGGCAAGCAGTATCAACAATTGGTAAAAGGACAAGCTATTTGGTCGTAAAATGTTACATCCATTACTGCTGTTATGGACGACGTTGTTTGGAGCATTGTTGTGTCCTAGTAATGCAATCACAAAAAGTTTTGTGAATTCATCGATGCCTGACATGCGACCGACATTTGTTGTTAACTTTGACACTGGTACTGTCATTTGTCAACATTCACCGCATCCGGATGATTTACATTTGCATCAAATCTCGATTATATGCGATGGCAAGCCAGATTGTTACAGTAATCCAGCAATGCATGACGAAAGTTTCCCATACTGTGGTACGTTTTCGAACGTTTTGTAATAAAATTTTCTAATATTTGCCAAGTTTTTACAGAAGAATCAGAGAATCCTAAAATAGTCAAAGTTAGGAAGAAGATTCATCGGTTAAAATGTTTTTATCAAAATTTTTCTAGAAAATGAATTTCTTTGAATCAGCAGTCAGTCACTTCTGCCTTTCAATATCCTTATCATCAAAATTTCAAATATCTGTTATAAAATTCATGGTCTTCTTGATTTCATTCTATTCGGGTGAGATTTGAAGAAAAATACGAGAAAGATGAAATGTTTTTAGTTTCTGCATAATTCACGTCCTAAATAGCAAACATTGCTAAGCAAGCAAAAACTTCATGTTTTAAAATTGGTTTCAAGAAGAAAGCTCACTATTTGATTTATATGTTAGTTGGGTTATGGTAAAAGCGCTAAAGTCATTTCTTTCTCGTTCTAAAAGCAGTCTATAATCAGAAGAAAGCAATATAAAGTTGTTCAAAATGCAATATCGGATAATAATATTCGAAATATTATTTCTCTTAAACAAATTGCAGGGTTTTTTTAAAGTGACTGAATCAGTGAATTGCTCTTTTTTTTTTTTTTTTTTTTTTATTTAAATTGAAGCGATTCATCTACGCCTTCTCTTAGAGACTAGAATCCTTTACTGTTTTGACTGTTCACATCACTGTAGCATGTATCTTGCTTATATCGATGCCAATGAACTTTTTCTTTTTTGACTTTTTTGTTGGATAGGTGAGCTGGTAAAAGTCACGAAAAAATACCGCCATCTCTCACTTTTATGCGGCAACGTCATAAATACGCCTTAAAAATTTGTGAAGAATCAGCGAATCGAAATTCTTTTGTTAAAACTGATCTGCAAACAATTGAAATAATTTTTTGTTGAAGAAAAAAAAAAAAACTTGACAATATCTCATACATAATAATTTTTATTTAGAGTGAAAAACGTTTGTAATAGGATTACGAAAATTGAAGTCACGAAAAGTTCTACTGGCAATAATCAATCACTTTTACTGTATTTACCCAACAATTCTTTATATCAGTTAAAACCCGAAACCTTTTCTATTTTCTTTTGAGTCTTAGTATCCATTAAAGCTGAACAATTGAAGCATTTAAAATACTATATATAAAGGGTAAAATATTTGATCAAAACCAATCCTAATTTTCAACAATCATAATTATCAATCAATTAATAATTAATTGGCCTATTCTTTGGCTTAGTTGGATAATGAAATTAAGTCTATAATTAACTCCTCGAAATATTTCAATTAGCAGTCACAGATGAAATAGTTAATATCGGTTCAGTACTTTTTGCAAGTGCCAAACGTTTGCAAGTTTCAGTTTTCTCAACAATTATTTCTGAATTTTTCAGAAGAAACTCGGACAATTAAAACTTTCATTTAATCTCCTCATTTTCAAATACGAATAACTTTCTCGTTGATAAAATGAAATGAAATTTAAGACTGATAGCAGGTTTAAAAAGTGACTGATGTATTTCCTTGCTGGTATATGGCAAAACAGATTTCAGCACACTGATGTCAAGCATATCAACGTATGTCGGAGACATACTTCTTTTGTACAAACAATCGAGTTCCTTGAAAATAATTCAAAACACTAAATTTTAAAATTTTTTATTTAATTTATTTGCTTGTCAAGTTAGATATTGATTGGAATTACATTTGGATGTAAGAATATGCAAATAAGTTGGGAACACTAAAGAAGTTGCTTTCCAGAAGTTCATGAAAGAATTATGATTTACCATTACCAATCATTTTCGCAATATGTTCAAATACACTGGTAAATGTCCGACTTTAATTTTTTTTCATTTTAAAAAAGATGTATTGTATGCAGGTAGCCGGTGTAACTCAACATGCAGTCAACGGGGTGCATGCTTGTTCGATGGAACTCAGGGACAGTGCTACTGCAATGCCGGATATCATGGTCCTCACTGTGAGCTTAATGGTATAATGTTTTTTCTATCCTTAATTCCCATCCTTAATGACAATTTATATCTCTTCATCAGCATTTTTGGGATTACAGGAAATGAAATTTTTTTTTAAATTCGTCTTCAGATGACAATGAGTGTAAGGATAAGCCCTGTCATTGGTTGGCACATTGCCGTAATACTTACGGCTCGTATTCTTGCACCTGCTTCCCGGGGTTTCAAGGAGATGGACACGAGTGCTCCGGTAAGATAAGTTTTATAACTCCTTTTTTCTAATTCTTATAAAAGTTTACTGACTATTGCTAGAAAATGAAGGGATAATTTTCACTTATATCTATTAATACCAAAACAGATCATTCCGATATTTCCGGAATTAACCATATTTGCTTCATTTTCATTTCTAACTTCCTAATTCTAAATAAAAAAGGAAGAGAATATGCGTAGTGATATCATCATAATGAATATGCATATTGTGCAATGCTGCCATAGACTAAGTAAATGTATATAGCAGAGGAACTGGAATCTTGAATTACTAAAAATTTTGATGAAGACATCACCTTTTACCTCTGGTCTTTTCGAGTCATCTCTCTGTATATCTCTCTCTCTCTCTCTCTCTCTTAGTTATCCAAATCTCCTGGTTATGCTCTAATCCTTTTATTGTTTAGCAGATAGATGATTTTTAAAGAATTCCAACTATTCTATTTCTTTGCAAGTGTAACTTAGGTACAACAGATTCATTTAGTTGCATTTACTGAATTCCACAATTGGAAATTGAAAGCACTACTTGATTTTAATTATATAGTCCAAATATCATTTTAAATTTCCAGTTATTAGTTCTTTAATTATTTCGTTACGTCATGACATTTTATTTTTATTGGAATGATCGATCGTATAAATGGTCTTACATTCTTTCAAAATTGGCCTCTTCCGACTGAACATCTAAGAAGTTGTATATTTTGAAACTTCCGAAAGAGTTCATTGAGATTTTTCTTCGAAGAAAAAGAGCGGCTTGCTAAAAGATTTGGATCATAAATAGATTGTCCTTTTAGAGATAGAAATGTGATGCTTATATGTGTGAAATTTATGAGCGGTGGGTTCAAATTTAGTGGGACAAGGCCATCAAAAGTCGTGATGTTCGATGGTCCCATTCAATATCAGCAACAAGATTTTTATTTGTTGCTGATCAGGAGAACCAAATTTCTCTCTGATAGATTTTGATTGAAATTTTCACATCAACCTGCTGCGTGTCAGTCTTGCGAGAAGCATAAAAACTAAATAGGAGCAAATTGAACCACATGAAGTAATTTAGATTAAAGGATATGTTTTCACAATATTTTCTTTTCAACGCAGTATGAGGTCATTGCCATTGCCTAGAACAATTTCGATAATTCCTTTGGAATAGAGGTAAGTAGTAAGAATAGAAAGTACCGAGAAATTGCACTAAAAATCAATGTTGCCCAGTTCAAACTTACTTCTCTTTGCTCCAACACAGTATGAAAAGACTTGACTAAGAAAAAGACTACTTACTTGTCTTTTCTGAAAGGAAGTCTGAATGTCAACAGCCAAGTGATACAAAAAAATTTCTTGACCTGAAAAGGTCTGCGAAATGGTACGGATATTTTCAATATAATGAATACTGAATATTTTGGTTATTGAAGTTCAAAGAGATATTTCGGAATTAGAATCATCAAGAAAAGTAGCTTAGAGAAAGGAATTAAAAAACACTAGAAAGCTGCAGTAGTTCATAATAACAGAAATGTGCAATAAAAATATATCAAAAATTTACGCTATATCTCCAACCTATTAATTAGTAGGAAGTAAGGCTATTCCAGTTTATCAGGTGACAAGTTGACAATGTCATAACGATCTAAGATTTTCAAACCTGCATCTGCACAGATAGCTACGATATAAGAAGTTTTATAGTATTGATTTCAAATCTAAAAGAACACAAATATTATTAATTTTCAGATATTAATGAATGTGAGACAGGGACAGCGCAGTGCCCGGATCATTCAACATGCGTCAATCTGCCGGGGACGTATTTCTGCAACTGCACTGAAGGATATCAGCCACTGGGCATACCACTTGAACGTTGCGCTGGTAGTTAATTTTATTACTAACAAGAGTTTTTTGGAAGGAGTATAAAAGTAACATATACATTTAAATTTCTTCCTAAATTCAGTTGCACATATATTTCAGTGTAGATTCCACTTACAGAAAAATTATTTCCTCACTTGATTAAATTAATATCTGTTACGTAATGTCGTACATCGTTGAATCATCATGAAAAGTTTAAAAGCTGTAAATCTTCTGCACACATCAGATCACTCAGTGGCTATTAAGAGATAAAAATTTTTATAGATATCGATGAATGCGCGCAAGAAATTCATGATTGCCCAGAAAATTTTAAGTGCCAGAATGAGGTGGAATTTTACTTTTCATGATATTAGAATAACTTGTGTATGCATATCCTGAAAGCATTGATCAGTGTTCATAATTTAGTCATTTAACAAGTTATGTGGTTATGATAAGTCAATGAGAAGGTCTTGAAAATAAAAGTAATATTGTTTGATTTTGAATAGTTTCTGCAGTGATGATTATCACTGATAATCCGTTCTTTGTGAGAATTCACAGAATTTTGTTTATTTATTTATTTATTTTTTTTTTTTTTGTAGGTTGGTAGATTCAAATGTGTGGAAAAATGTGACACTGGATATCGTTTGGTGAATGGGACATGCGTCGACATCGATGAGTGCATGGAAAAGATTTCTGAATGTAACAGTCGTGCTACTTGCGTAAATGCGGTTGGAGCTTATCAGTGCATATGTGAAGATGGCTTTACCGGAGATGGTGAAAACTGTACACGTCAGTCTTTTGAACTTAAGTTTTAGACAAATTTCACGTCTTCTGCTCTAATATTACATTATAACAAAAGATAATTGAAATAAATTTTAGCGATAAATGATTGCAGTCAACAAGAAGGTATTTGTGATCGACATGCTTTTTGCATTGGTACTCTGCGGATGTGTATATGCCAATCAGGATATGTTGGTGATGGCTTGAATTGTTATGGTTGGTTTCTTCAAATTTCAAAAATTTTATCCCAGTATAAAGAGCACGTGTTATTATCATTACTTACATTCTTATTTACACATGTCATATTTGAACTCTATCATACTATCAAAACAAATACAGAAATTAACGTGTTATCATACATTTATAGATGTAAATGAATGCGCAGCAAGACATAATCCTTGTGAAGGTCAAATCAGTGAAATGCGCTGTGTGAATATTGATGGTGGTTATATATGCTGTGAGCAGCATCTGGACGACAAACGATGCATTAGAGGTAGCTCTGCTTAAAAACTAATTTTTAGTTAAAAGGAGAGGTAAAAAAATCTCAGTGTTGGGGGGAACCCTTTTCTCGGAAGAAATCTTGAACAAACTAATGGAGAGGGAGAATAAGTCTCATCTCACTTGTGAGAATAAAAATATCCGTTTGGAGAAATAACTTAATTTGATATTAGATTTAAAATAAGAATAATATTATTTCGTAATTTCTAGAAAAAGGTGCATTTTGTTCTGGTGGATGTGGACTACAAGCCGTGTGTTACAACGAAACATGCCAATGCATGGAGGGATTTAGTGGTGATCCGCGAGTTAAGTGTTCTGGTAAGTAATCTGCTTTCAAACTTTTAAATTAAAAAATATCTTAAACGTTTTTTGCCAAGTAGAATCCGAATTTCTTCGAATTATCTTGTCAGAGATTTTTTTTCTTAACAATTTCCGAAATAGATTTTTTTGAAGAATAGATTCACTAAACTAGTCGATCATTTATTATTCTGAATTGTAGCCAATGGGATGTTTATTTATAGTGCCAATGGAAAATTTATTGAAAAATGATGCTTATTGAAATGGTCTACCGAGAGTTTTGTCTCCTTTAAATAATCAAAGATTTTGTAGTAATTTTGATAATCATGATTATTGCGAAGCAATTTTCTTTTGGAAATGAAGTAATTTTGTATTGCAGATATAAATGAATGTGAAGATGATAAACAGTGTCCGGGTGCTGGCGAATGGTGTGTCAATCTGTTCGGTGGATTCATTTGTTGTAATGCTGATTCAAAGAATCCCGAATGCTCTGGTAACAATTCTAAACTTAATGGTAATATTTTCACCATGATATTTACTAGTATATTTACGGTAACTAATCATAATCGTTTTAACCATGTTTGAATATATATAGTGTCACATATGTGCTTCACAAAAAAATATTCATGTCAGTTTTTATCCCACTTTTGGTACAATTGTCGGAAAATTCTTTCCATCCTTTCAACAGTTTTCGATTCATTCCTTATCGTTTCGTTTGTTTCACTGTAGTTCATTGTACAGTAATTTCATTATTGTCGATGAGTCTCCATATTTTCCGGTCAATATTTGGCGTATAATTTCGTAATTTGCTGAGGTTACATCAAAGCCTCTTACTCATTGTAGTGCTGTACCATTGTAGTGCTGTACCGGAAATTAAATAATTCATTTTTTGGCTTTGTGGGATATCCTGGGAATGTACAGCCGCATTAAACCCATTCCAAAACTCTCTCCATTGTCGAGGTTCTCCATCGAAAGTGGATAGAAATAGCTGAGGGAGGTTGATATTGCGATAGGATGTTGAATCCGTTATTGGCGGTTTAGAAGTTATTTGTTTGATTTCATTATTAATTTCCTTTTTGTACATAGTCAACGTGATGATGGCCTCCTTTGCTTCGTGCTTCAGAATGAACATATTTTGTTCTCCCGTAGCTATTTGTGCGTAATTTTCCTCATCTTCTTTTTTCGTTTTGGATTTTTGGGCACACTCTATCCACTTCTTATTTAAGGCCTCGATAGAGTCAATGCACATTTGCAGTCGAAGAATTTTTTCATCTATGAGTCGATCTTTGGTTTCGTTAATTTCGAGTCGTTCGTGGTTCGATAAGGTTGGGTCCGGAGATTGGATATTCATAGTTTTTACTTCATTCAGTAATTTTTCTAGACGGTAAAGGACTGTTTAGAAAAATTGATACTTTCAATAATAGTAAAAGCCATTGTAATTCTACTCTCTGTCCCGGCTCGTAGTAGTTGATTTAGATTAGTTAATTTCACTTGACTTACTTTAGGTTTGTAGAACTTGAACTGAACCTTTTGCTTCTTATCTGCAAGCGAGATCGACCCAGTACGGTCTATTTTATTTATAGATGTGATTCGAATATATAGTCGAGTAATTGAAACAGCGAAGGAATAAATAGTACTATTGAAGAGAAGGAAGAGAAGACTGCCACCGATGCTTTCTCTTTTATTAACTGATTAGAGAAGGTTTTTAAGGATGTAGGAAGTGGGCTGGCTTAGCAGATTAACATTTACAATGAAGACAGATGTACATTTACTATTTGAGGTTTAGATAAAGGATTCATTGTTTCAAAAAAATGGGATATAACAAAGGAATAACGAATTGGTTTATAGCAATGAATCATTAGCATTATTCTAAACACTTCGTGTAAAAATTTTTCGATTTTCCGACAACAATCATTATACTGAGGTTAACCTGATTACACTAGATAGCCTGTGTCACTGTATCACTTAAAATGTTCAATTGTCCCGTTCACATGTTACATACATACTTAATTAAAGGCATTCGAAGGACTTTTTCGACCGACAGTATTCAACAAAAAACAACAGGAGGTTTTCTGACCATCGATAAGCAGGTGATATCGTCAAAACAGTTTGGTCTTGCATGCTATTTTGGATGCCCTGCTGATTCACATTGCGTTAATAGTACCTGTCACTGTAACGATGGCTTTATTGGAAATACCTTTGAGGGCTGTGCAGGTACTTTTCGACTGATATTTTCGACTGTATCCTTATTGAAAAAAGTTTTATTCTGCTTAAATTTGGTGTAATTTGAGAAAGTAGAAGAGCTTTGTCACTTGAAAAGTTATGTCATTGTTTCTTTGCAGATATTAATGAATGCGAACTTGGCCTATGCAATCAATCAGATTCATGGTGTGTTAATTTGCGTGGCTCATTCGCATGCTGCACAACGAATTCCACCTTATCTGACTGTATTGGCTTAGAAATCACTGATGGTCGTGAAAATGATATCAGTGCTGATAACACTAAAGGGGAGAATTTTGCCCTGCCTTCTGCTATCGAAAAAATTACAGGCAATATGAAAGTTGGTACTTCTGGCTCTGGTAGTGCTAGTGATACTGGCAATACAAATGAATCTTGGAGTGGTAGTTCCAGTAATGGTGAATTGAGTGGTAATAGGCGAAAAACTAGTTGGGCTATTGAAACGGTCGGGGAATGGAGAAATTTCACAGGTCATGCGATAATTATTGGCCGTGGGCGAATTGAAAGCAAAAAATGGAATGTAGCAAAAAACAAAAATGGAACACAGATTGGCATTGGTACGATTCAAATCTGAGATAAAAAGAAAGTTAAATCAAGCATTAATCTTTAGTTATAAATAATCATCATTACAGTCAATTTCGTCATGTTTTAATTGACGATGATCAAACAATGTTTTTCTCAAAAATTTTCAATGCTTTTAACATCTGAATAAGCATACCTCTTGTACTTCAACTTTCTTTTTACTTTTTACGTTTTTATTCATTTAACATTCGCGTAATTAAGTCTTGAAAATTCTTAAGCTAAATTACTTTCATTTCACGACCAAATATAATATACAGTTGTTCAATAAGCCATATATCAAATTAGAGAGTGTTGTGTTAAGCGATCAGTATTATTCTATCTCTAACGCGATATAATTTCTTTAAAAATTCATTTAAAATTGCATCTTAATTGAAATTGAACTTATTAAGATTTACCGAATAGCCATCCTTTTTTTAATCCATTTCCTCGAAATCTTTTAATATTTATTTACTTTAAGTTTAAAATTTTAGAAGTGCACAAAAATGGGACGGAAGAAGGAAAGTACTTTCAATTTTCAATCAAAGAAGAAGCAGATAAGGCTGGTGAAAGGAGCAAAGGAACCGAAGGATCTGGCGAAGATATTGAAATTAGCGATGGAGTAGAAAAATCACCTCATGATGAAACTTTAACTTCGCTATCTTCAGAAGCTGATAAAAGTAGTCAAAAGGGATCTGATGAAATCTTGACGAGCACTACAGCTTTATCAATACCAACGATTAGCAATTTCAGTGAAGTGCTTAAAACTAGGGAAGAAGAAACCAAAAAACCCGAAATTGTCATTCTCCGTTATTCAAAAGCGCCAATAAATTATACGTCTACTCAATCAAAAATATCGTTCGAAGGAAATCCTGAAAGTTCGGCTCTTCTTACTTCAATGCTAAAGTTTCCAAAAATTTTAGCGTCAGAAGCCCGTGGAAAAGTTTTAAGTGAAGTGAATACCACTACATATAACTCTGGAAAATCCACAACTTCCACAGTCTCTGAAATTATTAAATATAGCACAGATGCTGAATCTATTTCTGAAGTAGGACCAATGAAAAGTGAAGAACTAGAAACAACTACAATTCTGGAGATTAGCAAAACAGCAAAAACGGTTTTGGTAACGGAAAGTAGTTTGATAAAATCGAAGGAATCATTAGCTAGAACGGGAAATGACAAAAGAAAACAAATAGCGAAAGCTACGAACAAAGAAACTGCTTTGACAATACCATCGAATGTGAATAATGAACTCAGAAGCAGTGCCTATATTACCAGTGAAGATCTTGAAATGCAGATGGGATTGACTGGTAAGGAAATTGATGACTCTTCGACATCGCAAAATCAAGCTATAGTTATTGGAGCGGTAACCTTACCTTCTATTCCAGAGAGCAAATCACAATGGAAAAAGGAAGGGGAGCTGAAACTACAGCCAGAGAATTTCACGATGACAATTTCTGGAGCTGATATAGCAATTACTGTAGGACAAGAAACCGTCTCACCAACAGTTATCGAAGTTATTCATAAGGGAGCAGTAACTGTTATTCCAGAATCTAATTCATCAGGTTCAAGTGCAGTTGCACATTCAGAATCTGAAAGACCAGCCAAACTTCATGAAACTTCTAACCCATTTGAAGAGCGATTGGATAAGACCACCTTAAAACTTGGTCTTGAAATAACTAAAGCTTTATTAACAACTGAACAAACTGGGATTGAAATAGTGAAAGCGTCTAGTGATCATATTGAGACTGCTGAAGCGGGTGTTACATTACATCCATATCCGAAAAGTACTGAACCAGTTCAGTTTATAGAAAATACTATAGAATTGAAATCAAATTCAACACCAGTATCACAAAAAACTGAATCTAAGAAACCGCAAAATTCAGTTCCAATCGGAACGACGCAAGGACAAGCTGAAGCGATCAATTTCAAAAAACTTCCAGAACAATTCACAGAGATTGTTGAAAACACCAAAATACCTGTAATATTTAAGCAAACAATGAAAAACGCTGAAGTGGACGGCATGATATCACGTAATGCTGTAACTGCTGCGGGTTCAACAAGTAATCTTTCATCTTTCAATCAACTTTCTACCATGGCATTTAATAGAGCATCAGTTTCACTTATTAAGCCAATAAGTTATAATAACTTGCCGGAAACTGTCTCAACGCAGTACTCTGTTGCAACGATACATGTGACACCAACTGAAAGCGGAATTGGTACTACACAGGAATCATCTACAGCTGGAACTATTCGACTTAGTGCTTCACTTCCTAGCCAAACAACAACTGCTAACCTATCATCTAGAGATGCTGCGGAAGAAGTAAAAGCAATAAGAAATGACAAAAAACATGGCAAAGGTGCTACTACTGAAACAGAAAATGGTGAAACATCCTCAAAAGGTATCGAACTTGAGGGTTCAGGCGAGGAAATAATTGAAGTGCAAACTGTTAACAGCACCAATAGCTTCGTTTCAAACTCTGCCACCGAAACAAATAATTTTTTAAGAACAGCAGCTATTGATGTTAGAGGTCATGAAGTTGGACTGGAAATTGTGTTAATAAATGGGCATCCTAAAACAACAGAGCTTACAAGTGACGAAACCATGAGAAAATCTTCAATATTTGGTTCTCATAGAATTGAGGAATCAACAGCTTTCGGAACAATTAGTTCACAATATTTTGAAAAAAGTAATGGTATAATAGGCGTAAATACTATTAGAAACATGGAAACTACATTTGAAACCACTGCTCACAAAAAGCAGGGTTCGTTCGAAGAAGGAGAAATCGTTACCAGTACAGAAATAAGTCCAGCTACAAATATTTATGGGTCTGAAATTGTTTCGACTTCTGCATTAGGTGCAACTGAACTTGCAAAGATTTCGAAGTCATCGACCTTTCTTAGAACGAGTGAGACTTCCCTACCAATTGATATGGGTGACAGCATTAAAAATACGTTGAAACCAGCAAGCAGTAATGGAGCTACCGTTCTCCATGTGGATCATGGGAAATTGGGAGCCATTACTACTCCTAAATTTATAGCATCTTCAAGTTTCTCGACTAGAAAAACTCTCGCGAAAGTATCCGAAAAAGAAGAACGTATAAATTCGACTGTTGAAAATATAATAAAAATTAAAGCTATCACCGAAGGAGCAGAAAATGATGTTGTGACATCTGATGGAAAAATCAAGTACTCCTCACATTCGACTGCTAAGGATTTGAATATGAGGTTCGGATCTGTGACTGCGGTAGAAACTTCTACGTTTAAATCCACTGCAGGATTAGTAAACACTTCAAAAACTGTACCAGGAGGAATACATCCTGATATTACCACATCAGGAAATCCAACTGAGGTATCACGAATAGCTGACGTAACAGAAGCATTCAGTGAACCGAACAAATGGATAGCTTCTAATGCTGGGCAATTTACTGCAACACTTAGTGAATTTACAGCGAATAAAACAGAAATAGGGAAGCAAACAGAAAGAAAGAGATTGAAGGATGTTGACAGATCGAAATCTGTTTCTGAAATGAGCAGTTTGACTTCACCTGTTATGGAAATAGGAGGAATTAGAACCTCTACAATTCCCGAAATAACTAAGCTAGAAACTTCACTTATTTCAGAACTTAAATTTATTAAAGAGACTGAACAAGAAATTAACATAACAACAGATACTACTAGAGAGACAAGTTCTCCGAAAGTTTCTTTGCAGTCAAAGAAAACGGAGGAGTTGGTAATTCCACTGTTAAGTTCTAATTTTATGACAACTGTCGAACGAAAAACTTCGGGAATCGAACTTGACAAAACAACAGCTGTATTGGAATTAGACAGAATAACAGAGTTATCTGCTTCTGAAACTGGTACAACAAAGCGCATAGCAGAAGATGAGACATTAGAATCGGTAATGTCAACAAAATCCGAAATGGAATTCATAAAGAGGATGAGTACGTTAGAATTTCCGCCGATTAATTCAATAGAAAGAGAGCCTACGTCAATTCAGGAAACAGCATTTTCAGTATCAGGGACTGATATACATACTGCAGCATTTCTTGCTTTCAAAACTTCAACAAATCCTTCATTTCCTTCTCCTGAAACTGTTACAAACGATGGAAGCATTATCACTGTTGCAAATTCTAGGAATTTCCCAAGCACATTAGCTGAGGAAGTAATTTCCAAGCAATTTCTTAAATCAGTTTCTCAAGTTTCACCTCTCACTACCACCTCTACTTTATCAGTAGGAAATACCGTTGTTTCTCAACCCTCCGAAAGTTCTAAAACTGACTTGTCATTAACACCAACATCATCTAGAAGTAATTTAGAAACGACACTTATTGATAGCATGAATATATTAAAAATAGAGCCAGAAACTGTTGGATGGACGATAAAACCGGAAGAAACAGGAAAAAATGGAATAGCATTAGAAATGAAAACGGCAGTCCCTGCTGTCATTTCTAAAACAAAAATTTCCGAATCAACTCATTATCCATCAGGGATTTCGATAAAAGTTGAGCAAACACCAACCAAAAGTTCAGTTAGCGATGAAGATTTATTCAAAATAACCCAACAAGTAAGATTTGATTACTTTTTGACTTGTACATATTTACCTATTTCTCTATTTTTTTCTCAGATCTGGGTTTAACTCCTTTTTCTTTCCTCAGTCTTCAGATTAATTCACATGGTGATTGTTTCTTAACTTTATCAACTATTATCAATAAAATTGCAACTGGAGAATTTCCAACTGTTATTTTAGGAAACTGTAAGTCCGCTATATGCAAATATTTCGGAATCTGAAGAATATGTGACAGCTACCAAGACGGTGTACACTATTCAAGAAACCACGGGAACACCAATTACTCAGAATGATATTCCTGCCTCATCTTTGCGCTGTCAAAGTAGCAATGAATGTGGAGCAGATGCATACTGTGAACGACGATCTGGAGTTTGTCGTTGTTATTCGGGATTTGATGGACAACCTCCAATGACGCCGTGTGTCGGTATTGTTTTCTATTGCATTATATGAAATAACCTTGCAGTGCAAATTCTGAACTAATTTCTTACAAGCTGCTTTCAGATATCAACGAATGCGAAAGGCACCTGGATGATTGTGACTCAACATCGCGATGCTCCAATATAGTTGGTGGTTTCATGTGTTTCTGCGAAACCGGTTACCGAATGTCAAAAGAACATATTTGCGTAGACATTGACGAGTGTCAAGAGCGTGCTGGACGGCCTTGTAGTCAACATGCTATCTGTATCAATATACCGGGATCTTATCAGTGTCAATGTAATCTTGGATATACAGGTACTTCTTGCTTGATATGACTATCTTTAATTACTGTAGTGTAGTATAATTAGTACCTGATAAAATTACTCTTACTATTTCAATTCCACAATACGATGAGATTTAGGTGATGGGTACACATGCATTCCAACAGACAAGAGACACTGTAAAGAGGAAGAATTGGCGAAGTCTAATTGTGGAACGAATCATTTGTGTTTAGTGAATGTCAAGGGTGAAATTGATTGTGAGACTTGCAAGAAGGGTTTTGTGAAAGAAGAAACGGATTGCATAGATATTAATGAATGTGCTCAAAGTGGTATATGTCATGAAAATGCATTCTGCGAGAATAGCGATGGCTCTTATTCATGTCACTGCCAATCTGGATACAAAGGAGATGGCTACAAATGTGACGGTAATTATTTTCAGTTAAATTATTTTATCAATTTAATGTCTCTTAATGAAGATATTGGTTATCTGTGAGCAAATGTAGCTATTATGACATGCAAATAGGCACCTACATTTTCGCTTATGTTGTTGAACTAATTTAGTTACAATATATGCTAATGGTTACGATGAAATTTATGTAATTTGATTACAATATGATTCTAAGACTTACAGTTTTCAAATTCATAAACAATAGTAGCAAGGAATACTTTTTTAAAAATGAGGAATATTTTTAAAAATAATTAACTGTGTTTTTAAATATTTTAAAAATGACTTCTCAATAGAATACATTTAGATATTGATGAATGCCAGAATAATCCATGCCACCCCCAGAGCATTTGTACCAATCTTCCCGGTTCCTTCAGCTGTAAGTGTCCAGATGGATGGGTTGGCGATGGCAAAAACGAATGCATTAATCCATTTGATACTGCTTGTCTGGTACGACATCATTTTTCTTCTAGTTCGTATTTCCAAGTTTCATGTATTTCACATATGTTATGAAAAGAAAATTTTTAGGATAAGTTGTCGGTTTGTAACCAAGTCAACCATACATCATGTTTGTCAGTTACCTTAGGTGTCATCACAACGTCAATATGCGAATGCTCTGCTAATTATCGATATAATCATATCAAACATATCTGCGAAGGTATGCTTTATTGGACATTTCATAAAAAGGCGAGAGCTTTTGCTGTAAAGTTTCCATAGTACTAAAATGTACTATATAAAAAACTGTTCCGTTAAATTTTATAAGACATTCCTGAATAGTGCTGGAGAGCTTTCCGAAACAATGCTTGAGAATTTTTTTTAATATTAGTACAAAGTTTTCCAGTTGAAACTGATTATGACGTTCGGTTTCATTGCGCACTAATGTCATATAGCCGATATATATTTCAGCAGTTTTATTCGGCTTCCATCACAAATCACAAATTATAAATACAATATTTAGATATTGATGAATGTGTAGAAAACCGCCATAGTTGCGATCCCTCGAATTCGATTTGTGTCAATACACTTGGTGGTTACACATGTATGTGCTCACTTGGCTACGAAGGTGTAGGGGGTGTTTGCGTAGGTAAGTTTATTACGTAACATCAATAATTGCATTCACATTAATGTAATGTCAGTAAATTTACAATCTCCTGATTTTATTTTTTTTACATGACTTAATGAAGTCTTCTGAATTTCTTCCTAAGAAACATTTCTGGAATTATGAAACCAACCGCTAAATGTTTCAAGTATTACAGATGTTAATGAATGTGAACGAGGTGTCGCTGATTGCAATGTGCCATATCGATGCGAGAATCATTTGGGAAGCGTTGGATGCAAGTGCCCGCCAGGATTCATTGGTAATGGCATAAATTGCATTGGTATGTGCATAATTACATTTTCAAAATCTGTTAAAAAATTAAAAAGTATATGATTTGAAAGATAATCTAATTAGATTTTAAACTTTTCTGAGATTCTTCATTACTCTCATATCTTCATATTAACAAGTTTTCCAAATTCAAGAAATCGAGTCTTTCACAAAAGCTGATTCTGGTTGCAACGATGAATGGAAGAAAACTTGCCAGCATATGAACAGAACATGTCATATCGATGACGAGGATGTACAACAGTGTGGCTCGTGTATTATTGGTTATCAACCACTAAATGGGAGATGTCTTCGTAAGTTGTCACTTTCTTCCATTACATGGAACTTGTTGCCACAAGATGACTACAGTTCCGAGGATGAATTATTTGGAAAAGAAATATCTTTTTAACCCTATACCTGTGTTTTCTACAAAAGTTCAGTTAGAAACTTTCGAGAGTAAAAAGACTGAAAGTATTTCAATTTTTTAGAATTCAAATTTCAGCAACAGCATTATAAGAAAGCATTGTATTGTGTAGGTATTATTAAAATTTATGTATTGAAATAAAGAAAGAAGTGTTGCTTACTTTTAGCAGTACAAGAGACAGGTAACTGTGGGGATCCACAGAAGAATGATTGTGATGCAAATGCGGAATGCATCGATGTACATCCTGGGCATCATTTCTGTACCTGTAAAGTAGGATATATTGGTGATGGACGACACTGTGATGGTAATTAAGCACTCAATTTTAAATCCATAGAATACACCTATTAATAGTTACGAATATTTCATAACTCCCGCGATGATCCTTAGTTGAATCTTTGAAATCATCTTTAAAGTAAATATATTGCCTATCTGAAACTCAAGTTCATAACCAAACAGCTAGTAGGGTAAAAATGGGGTGAAAAAATGGAGATATAAATGAATCAATAGTGACCTTTGTATATGACCTTATTTATACATATATGTCTCTTACCTGGTGGGAATAGACATCAAAAAATGAAACTATGACATACAGCGGGAATAATTAAACCAAATTGTATTACTGCCAGTTGTTGATCAGTGTTTATTACCGAATACCTGCCATCCTGTTGTCTCCAATTTCTTGAAACTGGGAGGATTGTCTTTATCTCTTTGATTCTATTGTTCCCGACATCTCAACCTTACGTAAAAAACATTTATTCTGATAAAATGATTAATACAAGGAACGCAGCATATTTTAAAAGACTAGTAATTCAGAAAGTTTCGAGATGGATTGTGTACTTCAAAACAGTAAATTCACTTTTGTTGATATTAAAAAGATTATATCTCGTATTGATGACTGCTTGCGTGATGTGAATGCATTACTTTAAATGACAGGTGTCACGGTCTGTACTTTTTTTCCGCTCTTAATTCAGCTCTTAATTCAGGTCATTTTAGTTAGTTTAGATAGACGGCTACTCTTCATTAATCACTTTCTCTTTCTAAACAAACGATTTGTTTTTTCGCATCTTAGTCTTTCTCTGCCACAATACAGTTTTACTACTAATTGGATGATCGGATAATGAATCATCTAACTGAATCAAGTCAGATCTTTTATAATTTGTTACGTTATACGATTAAGATGGAAGGTGACATGTTTCTATTCTAGCATTACATCTTTTTTTTTCAATTTTTTAACACCTTTTATTCTACATTAATAATTTTGAATTGTATAAGTTGTATAAGAGTAGATCAAGGAATGGAACTAGGACAAAGACTGAACAAAACTATTAACTTTAATTTGCAAGTTAAATTAATTACGGATTTATAGGTCCTAATTGTCATTTGAATGTAACCATGTGCCACAAAAATGCTCGATGTCAACTTGATGGAACCTGTAAATGCAAGAATGGTTATCAGGGAAATGGAGTTGACTTATGCCAGTGTAAGTTGGATTTTTGTTTACTTATGTACTATCTATTCAAATAAAATCGGAAATTTCAGCTCTTTTGATGGACAATGAAGTCCTTATAGTTGGTTGGTTGACGCAAACAAATAATCATAATAAAGTTTTGATCAATGTTGTAGGGATTTTGGGTAATATCAAATTATATCATAGATAGTTGATTATAGCAGAAATTTGGTTGAGATTGGCTGTATGTTTTCGTTGAGAAGAGATTGTAAGGTGTAGATGAAATATTGAGACAATCGAATCGAAGCTTGAAATACTCAAAAACTGAGCCAAGCCAATGATTTTAACTCCTTATACAAGAATTGGCTTATAAAAAAGCGCATAATTAGTGTAAGTAAAAAGTTGTCCCTCTACGATGATCAGTATCCTTTGATTTATGACATTAAAATTGGTAGCAATTTATAACATATTAAGCAATGTACATATTCTTTGTCAACAGATTGTAACATTTTAGACGCTGAAATACAGTTGCAAAATAATCTTAAATAAATGATTTCTTAGTTGTGATGTAAATTTGAAACAGTTTTATATTTGTGTAAGGAATATTCAAAGACAATTTTTAATCCACAAATTCCATTTTAGGATCTAATACTAAATTATTAATAAATAAGCAATAAATTAATTTCGATTTTTTCAATAAAAGCTATTTTTTAATTGTCGCCATTATTTCGACAAATAATTGCTGAACGGCTGATGATTATTTCAGATTTGATTTTAATTAAAATTCAATTCAAGTTTTTACTCCGATTTTTTCATGAAATTTTTCTTTATAGTAGAAAGTGAGAAGAAACAGGTTGGAAAGACGTTTAAAAATGGAACGGGAGTATTAACAATCACAAAAGCCACAGTGAATCGAGAAATCAAACAGGATAATGAAACGCCGTCTCTTAATTCTGTTTCTGATTCCGGATTTGGTACTTTGTTCACAGTCATGTCATCCACGGTTTGTATTGTTCTCCAATGTCTGAAAAATTGTGTATGAAATTTAATGCTTACGATATTTCTCAGGGATTTATAGAAACTTTTATTAATAAGTAATTAATTAATATCAGAGGTAATAGTGATAAAAAATGATACGAATGCTTCTAAAGGTAAAATCTTATGTGCATGGGTCTGTTAAAACTGTTTTTATTGTAGAAAGTAACTCCGACGACAAACGATAGGAGATCTCAGCAAAACAACGGTATGGAAGAAGTGACAAGTAAAAGTACAGGTCCGACCAAAGGAAGTTTAGAAAAGAGAAATATTACTGTCGTTACTACTTCTACAACTTCACAGGGTTGGGTAACTGCTGCTAGTCACGTGGTATCTGCGGTCTCTGGTGAAGGTGGCATAATCAGTGAAGCTTGGCAACACAGTACGAAGTCTAGTAACAAATTATTCACTGCTGGAGCATTACCTTCGGAAATGGCATCAAGTCGTCAAGGCGCGAAAGAATCTGCTCGTGTTCTTGGCTCTGGTGCTTGGGTTCATTCAGACCTTACTTCATCCAAAGGTGCTTTCATTCCGGAAGAAATTCAGAAAACAGCTGTGCAAAAGTGCACTGTTGCCAATCAATCAACATGTCATGAATTTGCGGTTTGTGCAGAAGGAGAGTGCGTTTGTAAGTTAGGATATCATGGTGATGGATACTCCATTTGCATGTTAGTGACGTTTGGTCGTTTTTTCTCCTAAATTTCTTGATAAGAATTCATGGTTCAAAGCTAAATCAAGAGTATTTAGAGTATTAGAGGTGAACAAAATTTGTAAGATAGGAAGAACAATTTGGAATAAAATACAACGAAGGCTAATATGGCAATAGATATGAAGTAACAGAACGCTTCTAATGGCATTTTATGCCTTTTAAAAACAATGGTTTCAAAAGATTTTTATTTCATCAGGAAAGATATTGGTGATTGTACTTTTGACCCAACAATTTGCGATTTGCGCGCTGTGTGTGACAAATCGACACATACTTGCAAATGCATTCAAGGTTACATTGGTGATGGCGTCATTTGCGCTCCAGATACCTTCGTATGTTTCATTTCTATCCCTATGTGCATGTGTATGGGGCGCAATATATATTTTCTTTTTGAAACAGATTTTTCTAAATTCATAGTCGGTCAAATTTTGTAGGACTGCTTGCTAAGGCCAAATTTGTGCAGTAATTTTGCTGAATGTATTGGTCGAAGATGTATCTGCACTGCTGGATATACTGGTAATGCATACTGTCATCATTTCATGTTCATATTTTCTTCTTTAATAGACTCATTTGCTGTCGTTCGAATTTAATAATTTGTTATCATGGCTAGTCAGTTTTATTAATCGTCTCGAAAAGTTATAAATATAACTGAGCAATATATATTAAAGACAAATGAATAGGTGATGGTACCGAATGTGTTACGCTTGAACCGGTGCAAGATTGTACGCGATGTGATGCTAAAGCAAAGTGCTACAATGGAACTTGCATTTGTAATAAGGTATCGTCTTTTGGTCATTTTTGCATCCTTTAAAATTTCAACGACTACCTAAAATTTATGCAGTTGTGATTTATATCTACTTTGGAATCCGCTTAAAAGCAGTCGTTTGTTACCAAAAGCAATCATAATCCACTATTTTTTCACTTTATTTCTGTTATGCGATGATTTAGTAGTATGAAAAACTTTACATTCACAACATTTTAAGGGCTATTTTGGTAATGGCGCAGTTTGTATCGCTGACCCAACTGATTGTGTTCATTATCCCGGTCTTTGCCATTCTAATGCCATCTGCGATCAAGAAAAGAGGCGATGTAAGTGTACACGAGGTCAGTTACCTTTTTATTTGCTTTATTGGAATTACAGAGTGTAATAGATTCAAATTCAGAAGAAAAAAAATGAAGATAAAATTAGAAAAAAAGATGTGATTACGAATTTAGAGTAACTTAGACTAAAATCTTTTCTTAAAGGCTATATTGGAAATGGAATGGAGTGTAATAGGAAGAAGGATTTGTTGTGCTTGAACGACAGAAGCATTTGTGATCATAATGCCGAATGCCTTTTAACTGGTATATGCCGATGCAAACAAGGATTTGAAGGAGACGGCTACTACTGTCGTGAAGGTTAGCTTCATGCTTTCTTTCTAAGCCTAGTGTTTGCTTCTGAGTGACGAATAAAAATGTCATATAGCAACCGAAAACTATTTTCAGTAAAAGAAATATCAATCGCAAAGTCCATCTTTACCATAACATTTCTTTCTAGGGCAAAGTGAACAAGAATTTTTGCTAAAAAAAATAAATAGAAGTCTCGAATGCTTCGGCAAATCTGAATTCATGTTTTAACGCTCTTTCTATGGTTATTTTTTTGGTAATTTTTTATTGTTTAAAATGTAGTTTCCTCTTAGTTCATAACTTTTAATTTCTAGTGAATGTGAAATATGAAGTGATACAAACAAACGTAAGTAACGTATCAGAGTGTGAGCAGCAATGTATTGCAAATGAAGAATGTTACCACGGGCAGTGTCGATGCGCTGAGGGATACAAAAGGGGTCCAAATACTACCTGTGTGGGTATGTTTTGTAAGAGTAAATTTCCGACTTTTGGAATTTTGACCTCTAGCTTTTGAAGATTACTGAAATTACTGAGGGCTTTTTTTCCGTCAAAAAATCCACAAAAGTTTCTGATGCTATTATAATCAAAACACACGTTTTAAACGACTGAAATTAAATCTTTAGAGTAGAAAAGAAATTAATATTCTAAGATTAAAACAAACTACAGATATTGATGAATGTTCTATGGGTTCGCACAATTGCCACCCTGTGGCGCTCTGTACTAATGTTCCTGGATCCTTCACATGCATTTGTCCGACCGGTTATCATGGAAATGGACGTAAATGTTCTCAACATCATCCTCTTCACAATATGTCCGGTAGGTAGTATTCTTGAATTCGAATCCATGTTGTGCTACCCTGCAAAAGAAAACTTAAATAATTCTTAATTAGAATCATTTTGGGTTAGACCAAAAAAAAGTAAAGCAAATATACTCTAAAGATGTTTCGAAGGGTCATGCAGCCTTAAAAACATGCTCAATAATTTGGAAATGGAAGCGATTTGTGAAACGCCTATGTAACACAATAACCAAAATAAAGAAAACAATCGCTTATTAATATATTATATATTAATATATAACGAGCGTTGAACTTGAAATTTCTCCCCTTTTTCAGTAGATTGTGAATTGGACGGGATGACCTTGGCTTTGGTCAATGATCCTGATCTGTATGATGGTCGAATATTTGTTCGTGGTCAAACTGATAATCCATTTTGTTCTAAGAAACTCAACGCTCTGCTTACCAATGAGACTGAATATCATCTCATAATTCAGTATTCTCACTGCAACGTCAGATTCGAAGAACCCGTACGTTTTCCAATCATTTTTTTTTTCTTCAGTTTGAAAAGATAGAAACCAGCATTAACGAATTGGTTTTGTGATTAATATCAATTTTTACAGTTAACTAGAAGTATACCATTGTATTGAGATGAATGCCGCACTAAATCTAATACACAATACTTTTTGGAAGAAATCTTTATACTTATCATCTGTTTCATTTTTTTTTTTACTTTTCAAATGCGCACTCTGTTTAGAACACCATAGCCGTGACGGTAGTAATTCAACGACATCCGATGTTTATCACTGAACGAGCGGATGCTTATGATGTTAGATGTACATATCCTATTGGCGTTCGAAAGGTCCTGAAATTACCCTCTAAACCTAAGTTTAATTTACTTATTCATAGATTTACTAATATTATCCTCTGAACTTTAGTTCACTTTTGAGTGTGAATAGTAATAGTTACGATTGATACCAGTGTTGTATTCGTTGAAATTTATTTTCAGAGGACATCTTATTTTTTACCCACGAAAGTTCACTTGTGCTCAGAAATATAGGGAAAAATGTTACGGCCATAATGTTACTTATTTGTATTTAATTATATGTAAACAGTTTAATACGTCGTATAATTCGTCTGTTTGAACGAACGAACTAGATATGTTTATCTGGCTGATGATCTAAAATAAGGCAGACTTATTACTGAGATAGGTTTTTTTTTTGGAAGTAGATAATGGCAGAACTACACTAGTAGTAATTGCTCAAATTGGTTACTCTGTGCATGTAAGTCAAGCTAAATACTATAATGTAGTGATTAAAGAAAAATAAACTTCTAGGTAGCAAGTCATGTGGGTATTTCTGAGATAACTACCACTAAGACTATTGTTGAAACGGGAATTGGACCAACCTGTTCATTAACCGTTACCAATGAACAAGATCAGTTAATTGATACCGCTATCGTTGGACAGCCACTGAAACTTGCCTTAACTGTATATCCAAATGGTTTGTTTCATTTTACTTTTATAACTGTTTTTGCTTTAACGTTTGCTGTTTTGGCGATTGCCACAGACAAATAGCTGTGGAAAAGCTATTCTAATAATTATAAAATAATAATTATCTGAGATTATCACGAGTAGAGTCGATTACTAGAATTTTCTTCTTTGTTGTTGCTTGTAAGAGAAATTTGGTGGAAATTTGATTAAGGCTAGAGTTTAGTAGAGAATTATCTGATGGAGATATAACTGGTAGTACGAATTGTATCGAGCCGCATGCACACTTTACTCCAGAACGACCTTTGCGGATGATCTTAACTCTTTCTTTATATAGTGAGAGTTGGCTTATAACAAAGCGCATTGTGTTTTTGGATGTTCCTTACTCTTCATAATGTGGGAGGTTTAAAACATTTGAACCATCAAGTTACAGATTAGATCTTTATAAGCTTCTTTATCAAACCGAAAATGAGAATTGTATAAATGATTCATCACTTTAAACATCGAAGCATTTATTAACATTTTTTGTGTAACGGAACATTTATCTGAGAAATATTCTAACTGAACCTTTATACTAAAAATTTCTATATTATGATTTTATTTTAATTATCTTAGCATATTTATATTGTAAAATATTTCGATTATCCCGACAGCTTCTGTTTCATCTTGACCAAAATGATGAGTAAAGTCCTGGACAGAAAGATAAATTGATCTGGGCAACTATAAGCCGATTGAATTGAGTAAGACAATTCAATCAATTTTTAATCTCTGTTCAATAAGGTTGAATTTTGATTTAAAAAATTTCTCTTTTTAGATACATACGCAGTTCTTCCGCGGAATTGTTTTGCAATAAATTTGGAGACAGGTGAATTGTATTTGTTAACTGATCAAAATGGGTGTGCTATCGACACGGAACTTTTCCCAGAATGGACTTACCGACAAGTGTGGCTTACAACAGCCAAATTTCGGACATTCAAATGGCCTGACAGTTCGATGATTCGTTTCCAGTGTGACTGTTCGGCATGCATTGAAAGCTGTCCAAAGGTTTTTTTTATCGATGATAAACCAACAATTTATCTTCCTTAAATTCATGAAACTTTCCTGCTTCTGTAATGGAATATAGGTCAATTGCACGAAACGAAGTGAATCAACGAAACAGCGTCGTTTTCGGCACGTGCGTGAAGTTCCAAGAAATTCCGTAGATGAAGAACTAGAGAAGCATGTAGTAAAAAGTGCAAAATGGATGGCGTATTCTCGAGCATTATACATTAACGAGGAAGAGGAGCTGGTACGAGCACAACGTGACATGAAGCGTTGGAAGTACCAAGGTGCATTACTATGAATATTGCATTTGTCATTTATACTTCGTCAATAACTATTTAGTGAAAAAATACTTCTTCCACAAAACTCCACTGAGTACGAGGATTTCTTCTTAAATTTTTTTTGTGAGATAGAGAAAGAGGGATTTCAAATAAAATTAATATTTCTTTTTTCATTTCATGTGCGCCTTAATGTAGATTAACGGAAATTAATTTACAGTCTTCTGAAGTTAAATAGATTTGTAAAGTATATTTTGAGGTTTAAAAACTTACGAAGAACCAATGAATGCATTACCTGATGATATCTGTATTCGAGCTGTTTGGGTAATACTGTCTCTGCTACCACTAATTCTGTTATTGGTTCTTATTGGTTTACTATCTGCGATGTGGCGAAAACAATTATCCACCAAAATACGCTGGAGGAGAGCAGTTGTCAATGATAGCGAATCTTCATATTTAAAATTTTAGCGAGTCATCTCTTATTTCTGTGTCAATCCACAAGCGGTTGTTGTTATTTGTTGTTACCATATTGTTGTTGTTATTGTCATTGTTGTCAATGAAGTACACCAATATTCCGGATGTTGTGGATTACTGAATTATGGAGTTATATGCACATAAAAGTAACCCTAGAAATTGCAGGATATCATGAAATACGACATTTTTTTGTTCCGTTTGTCGAATTGTTCTCTATCTCAATTTTTTGAATGATTTGCTTTTTTGTCTTTGTTATTGCCTCACAATAATTTGAGGGTATATTCCAGCGCTAAAGATTTTCTAATATGTTGCTTTATTATCTTACCCACTCCGGACCTTTATGTCTTGGAAATTTTTTAAGGACTGGAATTTACTCTCAATGTCCAGAACCATTGATTGAATGCCTTCTGAAGAACAAAAAACGTAAGCGGATTCCTTAAACGAATTCCTTTTTATTTGCTTATAATGACAGTGCACTCTATAATTATGAATTTGTGAAAAACTTATAAAAATATGAAAAAGTTCCTCAATGTTCAATTTTCTCTAAGTTTTCCATAAAATGTTCTGTTTTCCTTTTTCTATAATATTGTTTGCCAACGTCATCATTAATCTCTTTTTCTACACACATTCCAAATACTTATTGCAATTACACTTCTTTCCGATGCCTTCCTTGTCCGTACATTTTTATTATCATTGATAATTCTCAGTGAATGACAATCATGTATATGTTTATGCGTTCTGTTCGTTTTACATTTACCAGTCACATTTGAAAGAAATGAATTAAGAAATTTTTACAGTGGATTAATTAGAACTGATCTTAAGCATGAAAGATAACTTATATATGTGAAGGACCATGTTTTTATATTGTGAGATTCTTTAGCAACGGATGCAAGCTGTATTGTTAAACTTTGCTTACATAATACATACATGACCAGTTATTAATGTAAACAATCTATGTATCTTTTGAAAATAGAAGGAACTTTTTAATTTCATTTGTTTTGGACGGAGGATTAACTTTATCAGAGGTATGCCTTTTGTTTAGTAGCATTGCTAGCACGCTTTCAAACTCCCATAGTCACCCACATAAAATCACTCGACTTTATCGAAAACTTGTTTGTTAATTCCGTCCGACTAATGAACTCTGTCCACATTCTACGAAAAGAATTTACTCAAAATCTCGTAAATTCAGCGGGAAGAGGATGAACACAATGTTTTCGGCCTTTACTTGAAGAATCTACACCAAGTTTCCAAGAAAAAAAACAGTAAATTGTTATCTCCATATTTGGTTTTTAAATGTTGGCATGATACAATTTAACTGTTATCCTGAAAAGCTCAATTTTGAGGACCTTCTTTCTCAGCTTAGCTTAGAAAGCACAGAGTTACAATTTGACAGCATACTTGAACAAACCAGGAAAAGATGGTCAAGGAATCTCTAGGGTGAGGGTAGTAGACGGATTTGTCGACAGCAAATGAAAAACCACAAATTTCTGTTATGATGCCAAAGTTATTGCTATAATCTGCAGAGGAATAATCCTTAGAATACATTTAACCTTAATTGAGATAGCTAATATATGAAAAATCTTCGGCATAGAGATAGATCTGCATTACATATAATCAGATCTCTAAATGGAATCGAAACGACAACAAAAAAGCTTAAAGGAATATTTATACTGTATTGCCGAAAATGAATTCAAGATTAGAGTGTGAAAATTGCCATCATAACATAGATAAATCTAAATAAAAAATGACCAAGCTCAAACTTCAGTACAATTACCAACGTTACCTGATTCCCAAGAATGAACTACATATTTTTTAAGCAACTTGTGTGTTCAAAATTACAATAAAGTGAAAATTGCACAATATTAGATAATCTTAGCAAAAATCAATTTTTGATTGAGAAACTCAGGACTAAGACTACCATCTTGCAATTTCATCGCAGTATTTTGTAAAGCATCTTCACACATGAACATGACTTTTGCTTCACGGGAGGTATACGTTAGTGTCAGCAGTGGTATTCACTTTCCCAACTTGTGTACTCATTCGTTTATAAGCAGACAAATATAGTGATACGCCAAAGGACGAAGGAATTCAACGATTACAGAATCAAAAGACAAGCACACTCCAGCTACCCGTCACAATATTATATATCACGAAAGCTGCTATTACTCCGAACTTTTAGATTTAAATATAACAAGGAAGGATTTAATCATACAAACGGATTCAAAAAACCGAACAATTCGATGTTGAATTTCAATTCCCACATGCCTTATATCATAGTTCCAACGGCATTATTTCAGCAATGAAAATACAAACTCGCGATATATTTGTCATGGGGGAAAACCCCCACATCCAGGAAACCATATCACAGCAAGTCCAAACGAGATGCAACATTTCAAATCCATCAATCTCCAATTGAAGAATAGTCACATCAAGAATGGCAAGAAAAGCAAAAGAACATAGGAATCATTTTCAGCTTATAAAATAATAGCAGTGATAAAATATGTTAACTATAATCCACACAGAAACCTGCTGCATTCATTTTGAGCCACGGCAAACGAAACCGGAGAAAAAGTTTTTCTCCATGAATTTCAGTTATTAAACAGACATGAAAGGGAAAAACAAGGAATTACGTCAGCTGAAAGAAAGAACAAAATATACGAGACAAGAATGAAGGAAAAATATAAAGTCCAAATAAAATAGCCACAACGTGTAAGATGATACAATAAACTTAACTTAAATTGGCTCTATATTGCTTCCCCAAACTACTGCTACTGTCCACCGATGAATTAAATAGTGATATCTTTTAACCAATATAAATAACAAATTGAATAAAACGTGTTGTGAAGAAAAGTAACATGAAGAAAAAAGCCGTACTCTAGTTGAACTTTTTCGAAAAAGTCTTGCTTTTCCTTTGCTTTAATAAGATTTAGAATAGTAAGAGATATGAAAATATCAGTCAGATATATCTGACTGCATTAAAATTGTTTGAAATAAGAATGTAAATTTCAAATCTGCTACTTGTACAAAATTTTTGCAATTAACTGCTTATGTCGTAAATTATAAAAACATATAATTTTCTTTTGTTTACTTTTGACAGTACACTGCTAATCAGTTTGAGCAATAAAATTAAGAGCTTGTTATACAAATGAGCATAAATTTCACCTTTTCTTTTAAATAAATACAAGTAAAAGAGAATAAAAAAAGAAGTTCATTATTGCTAAGGAGCAACATATATCAAAAATCAGAAAACCTTAACGAATTGCCTGCAGAAACCATATTATGCACATCAGCAACAATAAGTTGTGCTACTTGGTCTGCTACCTCTGCTTCCTAAAACAATTTATCCTTTCAATAAAAAGACTTCTCATCATTAAAGCTGTGATTCAATGAAAATTCCTTATGACTGAATTTGTAACCTTCCCATTTACAATTCCTTTGCTTTGATCAAGAACTAAAACATTGATTACAGAATCATTATTTCAATTTCAAAGGAATTAAATAATGGAGTTCATCTGCCGTTTACTTCATCAGTTTCCACAGTGAGACAAAGATCGCTCACACAATCTACTTCTACTCAAGTCAACAGACATGAAAAATGTGACATAAACACACCTTTTTCATAGAATAATGTAGATATTTATCTAATTTGTTTTTGAGCCTTCGTCGAGTATTTCCCTTATTTTCGGATATACTGTAACTGTTATCATACATTGGACGATATCGACCCATATCATCAACTGTAGCTAATGATATGCTCCTGAAGTGGGAATGAAATGTATTTGCAAAAACGCTGTGTTTTCAATCAGTTCTGGAAACAAATCATTTGAAAAGTACAGCAAATGGTTAATCAAAATTTTTAAAGACGGAGAAAAATTGACAGATAAATGTAAAGAGAATTTTGAAAAAACTCACGCCTTTGACCGCCCAGAACGAGAAATACTCATGCCACAGAAATTTGAACTATCTGGCTGAGAGGTTGTTTCGTATTCATCTCTGTTCAGTGATAATAATGTAGGAGAAAGTGACGGAGTCAAATTACGATATGCCGCTCTATCAAACAATGATAACGGTAAACTTGTATCTGAGGACTGATCCGAATCAGTCACTGAAATAGCCAATATTTTTATCTGACTTCAAAAAACGAATTTCTATTTTATTTATTTATTTTTGATTTCTTAATCAGTAAAAAAGTGTCTACTTAATCACTTGCATCCACCTTTTCTGTGTTCTTGACTATTTGTAAATAATCTAAATCTTCTTAATGCCCCTTCTCCTCCCCACTTGTTTTTTTGTGAACTTTGTGTCAAAAGCAGAACGTAACGTTTGGAATAAAATTTTCGTCTAACTTCAGGCTTTGATCGTAAAGAAACTAAAATACAAAACTTCACACAAAGAAAACGAGGGACAACTTTTTTTATCATCAAATTCAAATCTAAATTACAATTAAGTTTACCATGCATGATTTTTTTTTTCTAATGAATAGTGTAAAAAATATCTCGAAAATGCAAAAATAAACCAAGTGTTTGCTTTCTTATATTTGGATTTGGCAATTCGACACAGTTTTCCACCTGAACCATCAGTTTCTGCAGATATTTTACAAATGCTGGCGATGCAGAGAAGCGTTTCAGATAATTCTGTAAAAGATAAAAGCAGATTTACAAAAAGGAAAAATTGTAAAAATTGTAGTTCAACAAATCAATGTTAGTCAATCGGTAACAACAAATCTCTGCTATTCCTATCATGCAATACCAAAAATTACAGCTTTGTTTTCATAATTACGTTCGCTTACTTGTTCCAGAATGCGTAAAGCCATAAGTCGTGCTGCTTCGAAACAGCTCGAAGCAGGTCTTCCATTTCCTAAACAAATGTCGCTTTCGATTTGAATTCGAGTTTTCGAATCAAATTTCAACGGTTCTGTTGCTTGCATTGAAAAATATCTGTAAAACATGCCTATGAGAATAACCAATTAAATTTGTCTCCTTATTTTCATATTT